AAAAAGCATAATTCTCTGAAAATTATTTTGCATACTAAGTGCAAGACCTGGGTCATATTAGAGATTAAAATTGTCTTTCCATGTCCTGTGTGCCATCCATTTAAAGTACTATTGAGGTGCGCTCTGGAAATAATTGGAAAGCTCTTTCCTTAACAGTCCTGTTTCAATCACTCTCTGTTTCATGCTAATTTCCTCTCTGCAGTGAACTACTTTGCTTCTTTATTGCTGTTTGAAATACTAGTCCTGGTATAAGACCTGCTGTATAAAAGCATCAGTTTCTGAAAATGCATCTGTTTCCTTTTACAGATGTCACAGTAACTCAGCCAGGACCAGTAAGGCCAGACTGAACCAATTTTTAGGATGTAGGGAAATAAGTGGTACACAGCATCCTGCATATATATATACAGCAGATCCCTTTAGGTCTAGTTCAATAAAAATTAGGAACAGTGATCTGTGTGAAATGGTCCCTGTTGCTATTTTTTAAGAGATTCAAGTAAGAAGGACCAAGGGATAGATTTGCTGGCAAGGAGGAATTATAGCAGGGCTAGGCAACCTTTTTGAGCCGGGGGCCGGCCCCTCGAAGTCATCCCTTCCGGTGGGCTTGGGGGGGGAATGACAGGCACACGCTCATGCATGTGCGCGCAACACCCCCCCCCCCCCCCCGGCTTTCAGATTTCCCCATGCGGTGGAAGATAGTTTCTTTTTCTCTTGAGCCCAGCTGAAAGAGTCCTGAGTGATTAATTGCTTTTAAACAAACAGAGACCCTCCCCAGCCGGGGCTGGGCATCGCTGTCTGGATGGAGGCTGAAACCAAAGTTAAAATAAAAAGCCTCAATTAGACTCTCTCTTGCTGTACGCACACATACACACACTGAAGGAGCCTTCAAGTTTTACCCTCAGTTTATCTACGGGTCATGGCAAAATCCATAATTTTGCCCCAAAACCTTTCCTCAACTTATACATGAGGTTGACCTATAGTCAAGTATATACGGTAAGCATTGCCAGAAATCGCATATAGAGGATATATGGTCCTGCATCTTCTCCTGAAATAGCTTACTTTCTTGTGTAATCATTTAATGCACATATGCAAATTTGCAGTGATAATCCCCCTCCACAAATATTAGATTATCAAAATATGGAATGTCAAGAATGTTGTCTTTCGTTGTCTTGTAAGAAATGAAAGTTATGGTCTGTTCCAAGTAAAAATTGATGTTATCCAAAACAACAAAACAGGAATATTGTCTGACCCTAAACATCTATACTATGGGAATGGGAATCATGCAACCTCCCAGATGTTGTTGGGACTGGCAGACCTAGCAGCTCTAGCCAGCCTAGCCAGTGGTGAAGAATACTGATCAACAGCATCTGGGGTGCTACATAATTCCCATTTCTCATACATACCAGTGAAATGCACATCTCAGTGGAGATTATCACATGGAGGCTTAACGTCCCTAAATCATCTGAAAACTGCCAGCAAACTGCAAAGATGTGATAGCCAGTCACGCTTGTCCCCGTGATTAAATCGTCTTGGAAGCGTTCCCTTTCCTCTCCCGTCATTAAAGCATTCATGGAGCTGCCATTTATTAATAACTGAAGTTCTCATTATTGACAAATGGTGGCTCTGTAAACGCTTTAATGATGGGAGAGGCGAAGGGACACCTCCATGACAATTTAAACATGGAGACGAGCACGACTGCCTATCACACCTTCACGGTTTTTGGATGATTTAGGGATGTTTTAAGGACGGTAAGCCTCTATGTGATAATCTCCAGAGTATTTAGCCTGGAGAAGAGATAGTTAAGAAACAGTATGATAGCCCTGTTTAAGCATTTGAAGGGGTGTCACACTGAGGATGAAGCAGGCTTGTTTGCTGCTGCTCCAGAGACTAGAACACGGAACAATGGGTGCAAGCTACAAGAAAAGAGATTCCACCTCAACATTAGGAGGAACTTCCTGGCAGTAAGGGCGGTTCGACAGTGGAATACACTCCCTCAGAGAGTAGTGGAGTCTCCTTCCTTGGAGGTATTTAAACGGGCTGGATGGCCATTTGTCAGAAATGCTTTGATTGTGATTTCCTGCCTGGCAGGGGGTGGACTGGATGGCCCTTTTGGTCTCTTCCAACTCTGAGATTCTATGATTCTATTTTCTCCTTTCTCTGGTACATGTCATCTGAGGACTTTCTTCTACCACACTCTTTTTCTGCCACATACTTCAGCGCACCATGTTCCAGGTCATTGCTCTCAAATGTAATTCTACCCAGTCCTATTTGTAGCATGTGCACAGGCTATAATTTATCCAATCAGTGTATCAGCCATCTAGGAACCAGAGTTCTCAGCAGCTTCTGCCAGTATATTTTTGTATGAAGAGGAAGTCAAAGGTTTTTAATAAGTGCAGTAATAATTGTAGGCCTCCCAGTGTATACAATGCCCACTTCCTTTGCATGTGAGACAGCACTTCAGTATCTAGACGAGTGGTTCCCAAACTTGGGTCCTCCATATGTTTTGGATTTCAGCTCTCAGAATTCCTGACTGCTGACCAAAATGGCTAGGGCTTCTGGGTGTTGATGTCCAAACCACCTGGAATACCAAAGTTTCGGAATCACTGGTCTAGACTATACAAGGGCAGGAGCTTTTGTTTGCTTGCTTGGAGCAGAACATGTTATAAACCATCCTGGGCATAAAATGTTATTTGATAACTCTGAAATTCTGGACTGTGCCAACAACTATCAGGTCAGAATGCACAGAGAAACCATTGAAACCTACAAACACCTGAACAACTTCAACAGGAAAGAAGAAATGCTAAAAGTAAACAAAGTTTGGCTACCAGTCCTGAAAAACACCAAAATTAAGACCCAGCAAATGCAAATGAAAACCATCCAGGGTCAGGGGTTTCCCAGCAGACAGTGGATCACTAATTAAATACAGTCACCCCTCCAAGTCTGCAGACTTGACGATCTGTGGACTTGACGATCCATAGAGGAGCAACCACCATTGAAGTGAATAGGGCGCCCCCTGTGGTGTGTGCCCCATGCCCCATTCATCTCAGTGGGCTTTAAATATACGTGAATCTCCTAACTCATGAGGGGAGTGTCCAGAACAGATCCCCCACAAGTTAGGAGGGGCGACTGTAATCACCCTGGAGCCTTGCCATTCTTCCATGCCAGCTTTCTCTGAAGATGCTAGCCACAGCTGCTGGAGAAATGTCAGGAAAAATCTTTTCCAGAACATGGCCACATAGCCTGAAAAACCCACAAAAAACTATGGATGCTGGCCGTAAAAGGCTTCAACTTCACATTTTTGTTTGTTTGTTATTAACTGCCCTCAAGTTAGCCCTGATTCATGGTAACCCTGTGGATGAGTCCTCTCAGAGTCCCCCTATCCTCTCCAAATCCCCCTATTCTCCACTGCTCTGCTCAGTTCCTGTAGATTCGTGCCTGTGACTTCCCTAATTGAGTCTAGCCATCTGACATGTGGTCTTTCTCTCTTTCTATTGTCCTCTACCTTTCCAAGCATTAATGTCTTCCAAGTGACTCATGTCTTGTCATGATGTGGCCAAAATACGACATCCTCAATTTAGACATCTTGGCTTCCAGGGGGAGTTCAGACTTGATCTGTTTGTTCAAGGACTCATATGTTTCTCTTTTTGGCTGTCCATGGTATCCTCAGCATTCTCCTCCAGCACCACATCTCAGATGAGTTTATTCTTTTCCTATCCATTTTCCTCACTGTCTAGCTGGAGTCTACAATGGCATGGACGATTCTGACTTTAGTGCTCAGTTGTATGTCTTTGCATTTTAGGATCTGACCTAGTTCTTTCATAGGCTGCCCTTCCCATTCCTAGTCTTATTTCTTGGCAGAATCACCGTTGATTTATGGTTTTGTTGGATTTCTTCAATGTAGTAGTTATGGATTCGTAAAGTCATGAAATATAGATTGTGTGATACAGGATCTTGTCTATACATTTAAGTGACAAAGCCGTTGCATTGTTAGACAGCTCTTAAGATGGAAAATATGAGGGCTGTATTACCTTTATGGCTTCAGGATTGTGTGTGTATGTATGTGTGTGCACTTTAAAAATGTAACAGGGTTCTCTAAGACTATCTCTACCAGAGATTTCCTGTACAGTAATCAAGTCCCTTATATAAAATAAAATGATGCCGTATTTTTGGGCTGCAGAGAGATACAAGAGACAGGACGCTGCAGAGAGACATGGGGAAATGTCAAAAACCTGCTTTTTAAAAAATGCATGAAAAATAGTGAACTTTCTGATGGCTGGGAGAGGACAAGGTGGTGAGCAATAGGGCCCAGGAAGAGTGGCCTTGGCCTGCACACTGATGGGTAGTCCATACTTCAAGTTATTCTCTCCAGCCATCTCTCTCTGCATTTTTATGTTTCTCATGTTCTCTCTTCAGCCCACAAATACTACACTATTTTATTTTATATAAGGGACCTGATTACTGTACAGGATATCTCCAGGGAGCCCTGCAGTCTGCCACTTTCACACTACACAGCTATGTTCCCCTTTAACTGCCATGGCTGCATTCTGTGGAATCCCGGAGTTTGTAGTTTTGCAGAAAAAGCTCTCTAGCTGGAAACTAAATACCTTTCCTTAAACTGCACTTTTCCCCATTCCATATGGAGTCATGTCAGTTAAAATGGGATCATAGAGCTATCTTTGTCTAGTGTGAAGGGGCCCAAGTATGTATTTTTGTTCTGTTTCGTTTTGTTTGTTTGTTTTACTGTATATTCTCATTTATAAATCTAGATATTTTAATCAAAAAATGACCCCAAAAACCTTGGTTGACTTATCCAAGGGTTGTTGCTGTTGTTGTCATTGTCATTGTCATCATTGTGTGCCTTCAAATCATTTCCAACTTTTATCAACCCTAAGGCAAACCTATGATGGGGGTTTCTTGGCAAGATCTGTTCAGGGGAGGTTTGCCATTGCCTTCCCCTGAGGCTGAGAGCATGTGACTTGCCCAAGGCCACCCAGTGGGTTTCATGGCTGAATGGGGAATCAAACCCTAGTCTCCATAGTCCTAGTCCAATACACAAACCACTATGCCATGCTGGCAAAAGTAGTGTACTTTAACTCTTAACAAAACAAAAAAAAAAACCATCCCCTGGTGAAAAGTGAGAGTTTAATACATCCTACAAGGGCATAAAAGAAGCACCAAATCCCTCTATTCTCTCATTCATCCTGCCTTTAGGGTGAGCATAAACAATTATGCCTGCCAGAGTTTTGTAAGTTCTTTGCCTTCATTTTTCTTTGCTTCGTCCTTTACATCTTTTGTTACATACCCCTAAGTTTTACCCTCAACGTATCCATGAAATATCACAATCCATAATTTTGGCCCCAAAACCTGCCCTCGGCGTATACATGCTCTACTTATAGTCTGTTATATATGGTATATAGAGTTAATCTGAAGTAGCAACTTACTTCCTTGAATGAAAGATAGCTATGGAAGTCCACTCACATCTTCTCCCCAGCCCTTTTAAGGAAGAAATCTAGAATGTTGTAGAAAAACATACAGTCTGAACCACTGCCACAATTTAAACCAAGCACGTGTAGTGTTAAGGGAATTAATTTGAGCCAGAGCAAGGGGGAAAGCCAAGAATATTTTAACTGACAAGTATGCAGTCATGTGTTCATTGTCAATTGCCTGGTGTGCCCATTTTGATCAGCAGAGCAAAGTCAGATTTTTCATTGCAACATGAGAACAGGCCTTATAGTAAGCTTTCTACATTAGCAGATCACTGCAAATCAGTAGTCTGATGGAGCATAATTTGTGTGTAATTTTGGATTGATGTCAAATTAGCATCAAGTCGCTAGTTATTATTGGTCTTTGAGGAATGGCTCATCACAGCTGGTCATTTGCCCAATTACCTAGTGGCTTTGCACTTTGTCTTGGAAATCAGCTTGGGATAAATGGATCAGATGAATGCTATCTCATGGAAAGAGAATATGAAATGATAAATATTTATGTGTAAGGGATCAAAGCATGAACATTTGATGCAAGAAATATTCTGCCTGGCACTCTGTTATGCAGGCGTTGTTATTTGGGCAGCCAATTACTGCTTGACTTGCATTTTGTGTATTAGCAACCTCTTTTTTGTTTTAATGACACTTATGATTTTAAATAGGATGAACTGAATCGTATTTGCTTGGTGGTTATTGTGCCTGCCTTTCACTGAGAGGGAGGTATCTTATGCAATCCTTAAAAAGCCTTTCGTTTACCTCCTTCCTCCCATTTTTTATTTTATTTTGCTACCTTTCAGCCACCTTGCACCTGTTATTTCCTTTCTCTGCCACATTCTCTACTGTAGATAAATGACCTGAACACATGTATTGTAGGTAGATGGAACAAGCCTTCGGCAGCCTAGAAGTATCACTCAATCTTACCTCTCAGATGCTACTCAAAAGGGTCAAGAAGACATGAGGAAGCCACATGACCGGCTTTACAGAGAACATACTCTTTTTGAATACTTCATTTATTGACAGGACAGTCTACTCAAGTCTAGTTTAAAGATAAAAAGGAGAGGGACAGGGCTCTTGAAGTTGCTAAACAGCAGACTCAGCTGACATGTAGATTACTTGGTCACAGTCCTCCCCATTCTAAAGTGGTGTATTGCATTCTTATTTAGAATGGAGCAATTATTTTCACATTTACTTCTGTGTACATAAACTAAGTTATATACAAAGATGTGCTGCTTTTAAGTTTCTGCTTTTGTGATGAATTCCCTCCTTTTTGGTGATAGGCAGGTGCCTACCATAAATGAACAATCTTCTCTTTTCCTTAACTTAGGAACATGTATGTGTGGATAGACAGACAACTAACAATATATTATGTCCTAGTTTTCCTGCTGCCTTGCCTCCATCTTAATTTGACCTATAGGTATCTAAAGTACAGCCATTGTGGCTGTATGTCCAGAGCTTCACATGATAAAACCATGGTGTAAGGAGTTGTCTGGGTCCTCTGAAAACAAGACAAGGATCCATGCAGGCCTCCAGATGATGTTGGACTACAACTCCTGGTAGTCCTGATGCATGATGCATTGTCTCAAAAGAATTTAAATCACCCTAATTCATTCCTTCTCTGTTCCCTGTATCTCTTGTTGTCAATAAGAGTTTTCTTCAACTCAGAACCTTTGGACAATGAACCTACAATTTTAGGGCATGAAATGGAAGCTCCTCTCAAAACAGAAGGCCTCCAGCTGAGGCCCCGCATAGCAAGGGGTGGTGGAGGCCTTGCCCCAAAACACCCTCCCCTGACCCCAGCAAGGGCTATCTAGACTTTACATTCCACCGCCACCATGCTGAAAACATGCCAGGAGGAGGAGGTGGCAAAGGAGGAGGAGGCAGGAGCTGGGACTGGGACTGGCCCCAAACCCAGGCCAGGACATTCATATAGAGTTAAAAGCTGTGAATGTCCTGGCAAAAACTGGGATATGGCAACCGAAGATTGGGTAGGCAGAAAAAGACTTCTTTAAATGGAGCTTCTGTGTCAGAGGCTTTAACTGAGCTATGTCTGTACTGTTGTGCCACTGAAAAATAAAGGGAAATGCTGTCTAATTCACCCAGTGGCCAATTCAAACGTTGTATCTGGGAACTTCTAAAAAAAGTGATATTACAAAGGAATAATTCCCTGCACTTTCTTCCCAACCAGATGGCTTGGAATATACACTA